AGAGTTGATTTACGGCCAGCCTGCTGCAGCCAAGGCAGGGCAAGGCAAGGCAAGGCAAGGCAATTAACAGTGTGTATCTATCATACTGTTAATTGTATTGTATCATACTTTCTTGGCTTTTCCTGGACCAGCATTTTCTGCCGAATACTGTCGCTTCTTATCGTGCAGCGTTGGCGAAGCCGCTGCAGCTTGCGTTTGGAGTGGATGTCACTTTTACTCATTATGCAAGCTCTCTCATGAGTTTTTCTACCTCGAGCCTGCTCATGCACTGTCTGAGCTGTCTTGGTCATTGGACTGGATTCTTTCCTTTCTTTCTTTCTTCTCCTCGGTTAGTCATGGCCCCATTGGTTCGGGTTAGCTTTGGGAAAACCTTGTTTTTGTGGGTTTTGGCTTCTGGGGGTTGGGTTGGGGAGCTTCATGTTCTTCTCCAGCGCTCGGGGTTCTGTTCATTTGGTCCTGGTTGACGTTTTGCTCGTTTGCGGCCTCCTACTTCTTTTTTGGTGAAGAACGAGATGACTGGCTTCCGGAGGGGTGTGTTGGTTGTGAAGGCTTAGTTGGTTAGGCCAGGGGTACATCTTGTGCTGTGTCTCTGTTGGTGCTTTACGTCGCTACCTGCGGGCCACCGGTTCGGTGACGGTGGACTTTCTCTGGGTGGATCCAGTTTCCCTGGTTCCCTGTACCAGAGCTTGTGTTTCTCAGGTTGTTTGCAGTGTCAAGTCTGGCCAGCTTGCAGTCTACCCTCGTGCCCATAATGTGCGGAAGTATACTTCTCTTGCAGCTGTTTTTGGTAATATGTCCTGGGTCGACATTCGGGCATGGGGGTTTTGGAGGTCAAACAGGGTCCTGGCTGTCAGGTATCTTGTGACCATCCCAGGCCCTCTACTGCTTTATGTTGTGTTGGGAAGACTGTCGCAGCTGTCTGTCTCTCCTTCTTGTTGAGACCTGAGGTGCTACCACCTCCCGGGTAAGTCCCTGTTTTTACTTAAAAGTTTTTACTTTTACGTTTTGAAGGTACTGTAGTTAGCTTCAGGGAGCCGACGTGGCTCCCCATAGTAAACCAGCGTTGAATGTAAAGAAACACCATTTTCTGGGTGAGCCCTGAAGGCTCCCGGACACCCTCCCTTCCTACGGTCGGTGGTTTTTATTGTTCAAGAACTCAGGAGGTGGGCTGCTAGCTCGCCTGAGCCGGCTCCCCCCTCCCCTCTTTATGGGGTGAGGGTAGCACTAACGAGCGGGAGTGCTAGTTGGATGACATGTTGCTTGTTTATTTTCTTCCTGCAGGAGTCTTTTTGTTTTTTCGGGCGTAGGTTGCAATTTTCACCAGCTTGTGGTCTGTTTTGTTTCGCCTATCTTTCTGGGTGTTTTCCTGGTCGATGGCAATTACGACATACTTTAAATGTAAAGTGCTCGTAGGCCATTACTCCCTGTGCCTCCCTGAGGGAGCCAGGTTATGGCTTTTGGTTCCTAGTAGTCATAAGGACTCCAGTGACTGATGACCTGAAACTTATATAGCACATATCAGTTTGAATAGCTTCAGGAAGCCTCCAGGGCTCACCCAGAAAATGGCATTTCATTACATTCAACGCTGGTTTTTACATTATGTGGAATTGAACCAATTTTTAAGAGAGGGATAACATACTCATTTTGAGTCCACTGTGAAAGCTTTAGGAATAATGTATTAATGAATGATCAGCCAGAAAAATAGAATTGTAGTGTAGAGCTGTGTTGTCAACAACAGCATGATTAATGTTGTCTAAATAAAAATTTAAGTTCCATCCTAATATGTGCAGCATGAGACTTGGCCCCTTGCTCCATGTAAGATTGAGTTCTGTAAGCAAAATGAATGAATTTGGTTTATATTAGATTTATACAACAGTTCTATGAGAGGTGAACTATATTGCCCTCTTTCCTTATCCATTTCTCAAAGATTCTTTTGAATGAAATTTGATTGAAAGTTAAATTATATTTTGTTTCATTAGGTAAAGTTTTTTTGTGAAGCTATTTTTGGCAGCAAAGATTACAGAAACCTATAGTGATTAATAAACATTCATGTAAAGATACTATATCAGTTTGGTATCTGTGAACGATGTTTCACTATTATTATAATATTTACTCATGAATGAGAGACCTGAATCTGGACAATCAGTGTGTGTATATAGTATAGTATTGGCATAAGTCCTTAGAACTGTAATGTAAACTGAGTACCTACTGATAACAGTTGAGAATGCAGTTGTGTGATAAATAGTTAAAAATATATTATTAACTTATATTTTTTAAATTAAAGCTCATTCTAATTGCTTTCTAACCAAGATTTACAATTGCAAATATGAGCATAGTTACAAACCTAAAATCATAGGTTTCATTACCAGTTACATTATTTATTTTTTTATTATATATACCATCAAGATATATATATATATATATATATATATATATATATATATATATATATATATATATATATATATATATATATATATATATATATATATATATATATATATATATATATATATATATATATATATATATATATATATATATATATATATATATATATATATATATATATATATATATATATATATATATATATATATATATATATATATATATATATATATATATATATATATATATATATATATATATATATATATATATATATATATATATATATATATATATATATATATATATATATATATATATATATATATATATATATATATATATATATATATATATATATATATATATATATATATATATATATATATATATATATATATATATATATATATATATATATATATATATATATATATATATATATATATATATATATATATATATATATATATATATATATATATATATATATATATATATATATATATATGTCGTACCTAATAGCCAGAACGCACTTCTCAGCCAACTATGCAAGGCCCGATTTGCCTAATATGCCAAGTTTTCCTGAATTAATATATTTTTTCTAATTTTTTCCTTATGAAGTGATAAAGCTACCCATTTCATTATGTATGAGGTCAATTTTTTTTTATTGAAGTTAAAATTAACGTAGATATATGACCGAACCTAACCAACCCTACCTAACCTAACCTAACCTATCTCTATCGGTTAGGTTAGGATAGGTAGCAGAAAAAGTTAGGTTAGGTTAGGTTAGGTAGGTTAGGTAGTCGAAAAAACATTAATTCATGAAAACTTGGCTTATTAGGCAAATTGGGCCATGCATAGTTGGCTGAGAAGTGCGTTCTGGCTATTAGGTACGACATATATATATATATATATATATATATATATATATATATATATATATATATATATATATATATATATATATATATATATATATATATATATATATATATATATATATATATATATATATATATATATATATATATATATATATATATATATATATATATACACAAAATACAATAGGTTGTGACTGTACATAAGTTGGTATAATTACCAACATTCTTGTACAGTAGTATATTGTAGTGGTACATTCTTCCAGAGTCACTAACATTTTTGACAGCATAGCATTTTCTGTCAAAGAATTCAAAAGTTTTCAGTAACAGATTTAGAAAAACTATCAGCATATGGCTTATTTTATAAATAACCTAGCAGATTTAGAAGAGTATCACAAAAATATAAAGCAAGCTTTCAGAATTATATGTGTGTGTATTATAAGAAAGGAGTGCATACAAAAGTGGATGCTTTGGGGCCAGTTGCACAAGATATTGCTGCATGCAGCTGTTTACTAACAAGCCGTCTCTCTCTCTCTCTCCCCCTGCCTGGCCGGATGCTGTCTCCACACTGCGTCGTCTGTACTGCTTCTCCCCAATCCATCGCTGTCACCCACCTCTCTCTGTTATGCTTTATTTATGTCATTAATGTTGGGGGTTTTGTTTATATTTCATTCTTTTTATTGCAATTCTTCCCAATATAATTTATATTAATACATGGTTGTTAAATTTTGTTCTATTTAATATCTTGGCATTTGGTTGCCATCACTCTGTCTACAATATATGCTTTCCTTTATCTTTACCCTAAATTATTTATTTGCATAACTACTTCATCTATCATCATTCACATTACTTTAATATTTTATATCTAAATTTATTGATAAATTATGCATCTTATCTTTTGCCTTATATACTTTGTCTTTGGTTTATTTCTGATTTTCTTTGGTGGAGTACAGCCGCTTCAAAATGCTGCCTCAGGGTTTAGTGGGCTCATGAAAAGCTTTTTCTAAATGAATTATCAAATTGTATTATGATGATACTGAACATGTTTGAAACATTAGAATTAGATGGACGTTTGTCACAGGCAATAAGTATTACCTGTGTTGTTGAGTTGTTATTGTTGTTGTTGTAGTTTCTGAGGATAGGTGAATGAGATTTTAACAAAAAATATCATGAGTGCCCCCATCTCTTAGATTCTATGAATTATAAAGAATAAAACATTTCCTGTTCAATTAATCTCTCAATGTGCCTGTGAAGTGGATGAAAATTAAAAGAAGAATCTTGTTGGTTTCTTGTTGGACCTCAGATATAAAATGAAGGAATATGTAAAAGTTCAAAGTAATTTAGTTATGAATTAATCTATTTTTTCTATTTTAAATAGTTTTATTTGATATATGTTTATGAACTGCATTTTATCTTTCCTTGCCCACCTTTTGAACACTGAACACCAAATGAAATACTGTCTTAAAACAAACATAACTGATTGGATAACATCTTTAAATGCCAACTTGTATCTCAACCCTGCCAATCACTTTGACCGCCTCATGGAACTGTTCCATTTCTATGTTGATCATCAATTTGAGATGACAATAAATAAGTGTCTGATTTGGGTGTAACCAATGGGCCCTTGTATGTGACTGTGGGTATCCAATTTTAAATATTTTTAATCTAATTGAAAATCTTTTAATCTCCATGGTGATACTTTGAATGCAAAACCTCACCACATAGCCTTCTGAAGAGCAATTGCGCACAGATCATCAAGAGATAGATATGTTAGAGATGGAAGGTCGTCAGAGAGAATATAGGTTACACATCGATCAAATGGATGTTGATATCAAACTCAAAGATTCACTCATTAACAATCTTAGTGATGAAAATAAAAGACAAAGAGAGCGTATGCAAGAACTTGAGGAGGAAATTCATGCATTAGAGGAAGATATGAAAAGGAATGAGAAGATCGAGGAACTAGAGCAACTGGTGGTGGTTGTTAAGCACAAGAATGAGAGAATTGAGGAGTTGGAAGAAGCATTAAGACAGAGCGTTAGGATTGCCACGGATATGGAGCTTGAGAAGCGAGACGAAGAAGATAGACGGAAGGAGATTACAGAGAAGGTCAGTATGAGATTTATATTTACATTTGTAGTATACCTTACCTTACCTTGGGGTTACCTTGAGGTGCTTCCGGGGCTTAGCGTTCCCGCGGCCCGGTCGTCGACCAGGCCTCCTGGTTGTCGGACTGATCAACCAGGCTGTTGGACGCGGCTGCTCGCAGCCTAACGTACGAGTCACAGCCTGGTTGATCAGGTATCCTTTGGAGGTGCTTATCCACATAACCGTATAGACATAACCGTAATCTGTATAGATTACATAACAAATGTAAATTATTCACAAATTAAGCTTTTTTTATTTACAACTACTTTGAGATGAAGTACATTATAATAATGAATGCAATATTAATATTATTTTGGTAGGATTAAATTCATAATTAAAAAATATTTTCTGTGGGCTAATGTATGTTAAAAAGCCTGGAGCTTTTTGGGCTAATGTATGTTATATTAGACCGGAACATTAGCTAAGGAGTTCAGACCTACCAGGGGCCAGCGCCAGAATCTGGCGCCTTCAGAGAGGTTTCAGGGAGCAATGGCCCCTGGAAAACCCCCTTATGGTTGGGGTTTTCCTTATCTGCCATCGACCGGGGTTAGGCACCCAGAAAGGTAGGCATAACAAAACAAACCCCCACATGGTAAAAAACTAAAACAAAAAAACGAACAGAGAGGTAGAAACTCCCTACAATCCCAAGGAAACAAGCAAACATCACACTTTACTGCCACACCGATCGTCCGGCAGCCCTCCCCGTCCCAAGAGGGGGAGGGGTGGAGCCCCGGACCTCACCACGCCGGCGGCCTAGCATCGGTTCGTAAGCTAATGTCAACCGGGATAGACACTTCTCTGGCCTCAGTTTCCTAGGTGGTGTTTGCCTTTCGTGGTGCTCACTGTGTTGTGTTGTGCGGTGGCCAGGTGTTCCTCATCAGTACCGGGGCTGCATGCGCTTAGGGGCTTCCTTTCCTAAGCGCCCTGTGAGTACTGCCCCTGTGTGACAGGGTTATTTTCCCTGGGGCGTTCAGGAACCATTCCTGTAGAGGTTCTTGCTGCTCGGCATTTGCCTCACCCTTGGGCCCAGCTGGGGCTTGGGGCCCTTGTTTGGCCCTGGGTAGGGACTGGTGTTGTGCTGGTTAGGGCGTCAATGTAAGGAACGCGATTGAAAGCTGTATCCTAAAGTATCGGTAAAAACACCCGCTCTTACTTTCTTATAAATAATGGAAGTGCAGGGTGCAGGGGTCTATATAGTAATAGTCACCAGTTCTAACTACATGAGACAAGAAATACACCTTGGGGTACAATTTTACAAAAGGGATTTTATTTAACAAATACCAGATTTCCTCATATTACTTAGAACAGGGAGGGGGGGAAAGGTTTACTTGGATCCACCACAGGATTGATACAGACAAAGAGAATGGAGTAGGGTCCTTCTCCTTCTACAACCTGGGACTTAAGGTCATTTTTTTTTAGATATATACAAGAGTTGTTACATTCTTGTAGAGCCACTAGTACGTGTACCGTTTCGGGCAGGTCCCTGGAATACGATCCCCGCCGAGAAGAATCATTTTTACAACCAAGTACTCATTTTACTGTTGAGTTGAACAGAGGCTACAGTTGAGGATTTGCGACCAGTAAATCCTCCCCAGCCAGGATACGAACCCATGACAAAGCGCTTGTGGAACGCCAGGCGAGTGTCTTACCACTACACCACGGAGACTGGTATTCCACTCCTCATAGGTCACTACAAAGGGCCTGGGTATACAAATGAATATACAAAATAAATGTGGATAATCTTCCCATGTGACACACAGCTGAGAACATACACCTGAATTAACAACACACCACTCTCCTTAAACACAGGGTTCCAAAAATCCTTATTTCCACAAATTCCTATCCCTAACTCATAAAGAAAAGGGGAAGCACCGCTATAAACATCTATAATACTGCACTTATCGTATTTGTTGGAGACCATCCACAACACTGGTGTGGTTCTCACTGCCTCCCACTCCCAAGTGACTGATAGGGGCTTGCACATGTCCCTGCCTGCCTGGTTCCAATACATGTAATCTCCCCTCCCTATACATGTCATACACATTTCCCAATACTTCATTTATATGTCTTATAATGTTCCAGGCTGTTTTTGTGCATTTAACACTGTTGTTTTTCTATATTTTCTTGCATTGAATCTGCTTTTTCTTAACCATTTTATCCCTTTTGTTTACATTGGTTTTTTTTTTTTGAAGATTACATTTTCCTGTCGAGATGATGCTCTGTGCATCTGAAAGGTGTCAGAGTACCTGACTGTTTTTCAACATTTAAAACTGCGATTTCCTCCTACACAAGGGTCTCTCTCAATAGCACTGCTATTTCTCCCTACACACGAGTCTCTATCTTACATCAAGGTGTTGTGCGACCTGCCACCTAAGCGGCGACCGGTTCCTGTTGCCTCTGGGGATGGTGTACTTTTGCGGGGGTTTCTTTTGTTTTTAATTTCATTTTCCTGGTGGGGGTCTGCCTAGTGTGGCTATAGTTCCACTGGTAGTGTTTGGTGGCTCTTTGCTAGGCCCCCGTGATTGGTTTTCATCGCAGGGGTTTTCAGTGTTGTCCTCTACCCCCTAGTTAGTTTTGGGTTTTAACCGATTAGCAACACCTTTGCCCGGCTTCCCGTAGTTGTTACCCTACGGGCCCTAGAAAACCCTGTCGGGGCTCGGTGGACCATTGAATGTGTCTTCCGGGTTCCAACCCGTCTTGTGCGGGTTTGTTGGTTGCTGTGCCCTTGTCTCAAGTAATAGTCACCACTTTTACCTCCGTCATGCTGCCTGTTGGGTCACTGACATCTTGACCCGGAGTCTTGCGAGAGATATTCTCTGCTTGTTTTCCAGTACTCTCCTGATGTTATTACTGTTCAGAGTACAGGCGGCATCCGTGTTGCAAGCTAGGTTAGGTTGCTGCAACACGCTAGGTTGGTTTCCCACTCGAATGCTCCGAGCCGCCCCGTTTTGGTTAGGTGCTGTTTGCCCCTTTCCCTCTCTGTTCCTGGCTCTGGACCGTCTGCGAGTTTTGGGGTCGGGGCTGGGTTTAGTTGGGGTCGAGACTCGGGTGGCTTCGGGGGCTGCCCTGTTCGGGTTAGGGACGGAGGTTTTTGAGCCTATTCTTCCTGCCAAGGCTTCTGGGTCTTACCAGCGGCCCTTTCTTGCTGCCTTTCCCATTGACTCTTCCTTTTCTTTAAGGGCGGAGGGCGTGGAGGACGACTCTGCCCTGGGGCCTCTGTTGCGGGTTTCCGGGGCTGTGGGGATGCCTGCTAGCAGTTCTGGGGCTGTTTGCCTCTTCCTGCAGTTTTTCTGCTTCTGGGCTGAGTTTTTTGCCCATCTAGTCTGCTTAATTCCCGCTTTTGCTGGCGTGTTTTCGTATCTTTTGTGTCGGTCACAGCCCCCTGTTCCGGTGGCCATTTTCTTTCTGCTGAATTCCCGGCGTGGTGACCAGGGCGGCGCGGCGGTTTGTTTACATGCGCCTGGGTGTGTGAGCGAGCGTCTGGGGTGAGTTTTTTCACCTCTTTCAGGGGTTTTATTCTCCTGTTGTCGTTTCTTTGCTTTTCTAGTGTTTTCTGCTCGTCTTCTGTTCCTCTGGGAACGTTTGGGTGTTGGTTTAACACCGGGTTTTCCGTTTTGTCTGTTTTGGGTCTGGGCCCTAGGGTTTGGGCTCAGTGTCCCTGTCTATGTTTGCTTCCACACCTTGTCCCTGAGTTTTTGGTCTGTTTTGGCCATTTCCCTGGGGGTTCTGTCTGGGGGCTGTGCCTTGCCTTTCTATGGTGTATTTCCACCAGCAAATGTGGTGGTTTGGGCTCCCCCGAGTTCGATTCCGGGTTCCTTTGGGTTCTTTGGTTTTGTTCCAGAGGTTTCTTCCTCTTGGGCTCCTTTGTGGGTTCAAGGGGTTTTGTTTCCTTGTGTGTGACCCAGTTCTGCCTTATGGGATTCCAGGGTCTTCCTGGCTTGCAGGCTGATCTTTTTTGGGTCTTGGCACGTGTTGTGGTCATGCCGGGACTTTGGGTTTTGTTGTCGAGGTGGGCCTTTTGATGCAGTTTTGTGCTTTCTTTGTGCCTTCTTTGCCTGGCCGGCGTGGTGCTCTTTGCCCCATTGGTTGGCGGCATGTATTTTTCTTTTCACGTGTATGTGACCAGGGATCTTGTGTTGGTGCTTGTGGTAGTTTTCAGGACTACAGTTATTTGATGTTTCTTGCTGTCGCCTCGTTTTGTGCGACGCTGGCGGAGCCGCTCCGATTTGCGTTTGGGGTGGATGTCACATCTGCCCCATTCTGTACGCTTTCTTGTGTTTTGTTTCACCTCCGGCCTGCTCATGCGTCGCCTGAGCCGTCCTGGTCCTTGATCAGGGTGCCCTCTTATCTTCTCCTCAGTTTATGGTAGCCCCTTCGGTTCAAGTTTGGTTTTCATAGGCCATATTTTGTTGGCATGGGCCTCTGTGGGTTGGGGAGCTTCAGGCTTTTCAGGTGCAGGGGTTTCTGCTCTTTGGTACTGGTGGTAGGTTTGTACATTTGCAGCCTTTCTCCGTCCTTCTGGCGAGAGTCGAGATGGCTGCTTTCCGGAAGGGTCCTTGGGTTATTGATGCTTGATTGGTTTGGCCGGGGGTGCATCTCTGTGTTGTCCGGTTGCGCCTTTTTGCCGTTACCTGCGTACCATGTCTGGGGATGCGCTTTGGGTTGATCCGGTTCCCCTCGTTCCCTGTTTCAAGGCTCGGGTCTCACAGGTCGTCCGCAGAGTTTTTAAGTCTTCCAGCCTGCGGTCTATCCTTGCGCCCGTGCTGTTTGGACGTTTGCAGCTTTCGCTGCTGTGTTGGTGACATCTAGGGCTCATTTCGGGCACGAGGATTTGAGGGTCGCACAGGTTCCTGGCTTCCCATTCTTTATGCGCGTGTCTGCTCCTGTGCGTTCTTGTTGCCTTAGGTCACAGGTTGCAGCCTGTTGTCTCGGCTTCGCGTTGCGGGGTTTGTGGAGGCCTCGTCCCAGGTCAGCTTTTTCTTTTCCTTCTCTTTGGGTATAAAGCTCCAGGGAGCCATAGGGGCTCCCCACAGAAAACCAGCGTTGAATGTAATGAAACACCATTTTCTGGGTGAGCCCCGGAGGCTCTCTGGCAACCCTCCCTCCCCACCGGTCGGCGTTTTTTTCACGTTGGTTGAAGCTTAGCTTCCGAACTGATGCTAGGCAGCCGACGTGGTGAGGTCTGGGGCTCCTCCCTCTCCCTCTCAGGGCGAGGAGGGCTGCGCGTACAATCGACGCGGCAGTAAAGTGTGATGTTTGCTTGTTTCCTTGGGATTGTAGGGAGTTTCTACCTCTCTGTTCGGTTTTCTATTTTAGTTTTTTACCATGTGGGGTTTGTTTTGTTATGCCTATCTTTCTGGGTGCCTAACCCTGGTCAATGGCAGATAAGGAAACCCCCAACCATAAGGGAGGTTTTCCAGGGCCATTGCTCCCTGAAACTTCTCTGAAGGGGCCAGGTTCTGGCGCTGGTCCCTGGTAGGTCTGAACTCCTTAGCTAATGTCCCGGTCTAATATAACATAAATTAGCCCGATGAGCTCCAGAGAGCCTCCGAGGTCACCCAGAAAATGGCGTTTCATTACAGTCAATGCTGGGTTTTTTTCAGGAGGGTTATTTTGTTTTGTGACTTCCATTGTCATGGCTGCTTTGCCTCAGTAGTGAGTTGATCTTTGATCCTCACATGGGTTTCACCCCTTTCAGAAACCAAGACAGAAAGAATCACTGGTTTGGCCCTGATCACCAGTGAGTAGAGATAGTCATGGGAGCCTGATATGTGAATGTAACTTTGCTGCATCAGTATCATTAGCCAAGGGAAGCTATTGAGGATAGTTGAGATAGAGGTATTTTACTACACACTACACTATTTTTATTTAGCGTTTATTGTTTTTATTTGAACCAGCCATTTATTATACAGTATATATAATTTTTTTGATGGACAAAAATGTGACATTTTATTTCCAATATTCTTCATTTTAAATTTTGATTTTTTTCAGCTTAATAAACTTGAGAATAGATTAGCAAGTGCTCAAAATGCTCAAAATCTTCGGTGTACTTCCTGTCGTCCTGTAAGGCAGCGACTGTCTCAGGTGGAAGCCCGGTATAATGCCATGGTTGGCGAACAGCGACATCATCTTCAAGAATTGTTTGATATGAAGTAAGATTCTATAACAATGACTAAGTTTTAAAATTGTCTAATTTTTAGAACTTTAAATCTAGAGCTGAATTTCACTCCAGACCCTTGCAAATCATAAAAAGCCTTCTGGTGATCTAGCAGAGTAGCAGGGGATGCTAAATCACCCTAACCAAAAAATAAATTACCATAATGGAAGAGCAAAATAAAAATAATACAACAGCAAAGAAAATGTGAACAACTCTGACAACTAGGATCACAGTATTACATCATTCCTTAATAGTTACAATCCCCCCACTGGCAGTCCTAAGAGCTTCCAGTCTGACTGGAGTCAATCAGGCAAAGTCAGTGTGGAGTCAATGTGACCAAACAGGGTCACAACAGCCAGCCCAACATGCCTGTTGTGACCCTGTTTGCATGTACTTTTCATTCTTCCTCCACCTATCCTGTTCTGGTTTTGCAGATAAGTGTTGAATATCTTTCGGAAGTTGTCTTGTCAATGGCCATTGTTTTTTTGCATTGATGTTTTTACATTCTTGCAATGCCACTAACACGTATAGCATTTTGGGCAGGTCCTTAATCTAAAAGATAATTTTATGTAGGTAATTTGTAGCAAAATTTGATGAATATTAATGGGTACATTGTAAGAAAATTTGAAGAAAATTAATAATTTTATTGTAGTAAAATTTGAGGATTATCAACAGGTACAGTGTAGCATAATTTGAGGATTATCAACAGGTACAGTGTAGCATAATTTGAGGATTATCAACAGGTACAGTGTAGCATAATTTGAGGATTATCAATAGGTACAGTGTAGCATAATTTGAGGATTATCAACAGGTACAGTGTAGCATAATTTGAGGATTATCAACAGGTACAGTGTAGCATAATTTGAGGATTATCAACAGGTACAGTGTAGCATAATTTGAGGATTTTCAACAGGTACAGTGTAGCATAATTTGAGGATTATCAACAGGTACAGTGTAGCATAATTTGAGGATTATCAACAGGTACAGTGTAGCATAATTTGAGGATTATCAACAGGTACAGTGTAGCATAATTTGAGGATTATCAACAGGTACAGTGTAGCATAATTTGAGGATTATTAATAGGCATATTGTAGTAAAATTTGCATTCAACATAACAACCATGATATAAGTTGATAGCAGTGATTACAATGGTGAAGTTGCACGGCCTCTTGGTTATCTTGAGATGATTTCGTGGCTTTAGCGTCTCTGTGGCCCGGTCTTCGACCAGGCCTCCTTTTTGTTACACATCTCCAGGAAGCAGCTCGTAGCAGCTGTCTAACTCCCAGGTACCTATTTACTGCTAGGTGAACAGGTGCCTCAGGGTGAAAGAAACTGTGCCCATTTGTTTCCGCCTCTACTGGAGATTGTACTCGGAACCTCAGGACTACGAATCCGAAGCGCTGTCCACTCAGCTGTCATGCCCCTACCAGGCTGGTGGGGGGATTAGATGGATGGATGGAGGGGCTGGATGGATGGTGAGGGGACTGGATGGATGGTGCAGGGACTGGATTGATGGATGGATGGTGGGGGAAATGATGGATGGATGGAGGGGGAACTGGTTGGATGGATAGATGGGGTGGATTGATAGTTGGATGGTGGAGGGGGACTGGATGGATGGATGGACTGGATAGATGGATGGACTGGAGGGATGGTGAGGGAACTGAATGGATGGTGGGGGGACTGGATGGATGCTGGGGGGACTTTATTTACCTGATTTTCCTTAGGGCCAATAACTCTAGTGTCCTTGACAAGAACAGGAAGCCGGTGGCTTGTTGAGGGTCCCCTCATTTGCCTTGATGATCTTTTCCTGGTATATTTTGAAATTCAGCACAGTTTTGGCAGTTACATCTTTGGCAGGTATGGGTTCTATGGGTTAATAGCCCTGTGGATGAAAAATCATCTCCTGTTCTCAGTTCTGCATTGTGGCTTGTTGAGCTTGAAGCCATTGCTTCTTGATTGTCTTACATCTGACCTTCTGAAGAAAATATCTGGATCAACAACTTCTAACTTGAGAATTTTACGTATTTCAATATTTTAATTTACACTTTACCTGGGCAGGGACACATATTGCATCACATAAACACACAAAAAATCTACGGATCTTGGGCGGGGACGCATGTTGCGTCCCAAATTAAAATATTTGTTAAAAATCCATTTTCTGAGGAGAGCCCCCTCGGCTCCCCTGAGCTATACTGGGCTGATGTGCATATATTTGACTGTGGCAACAGTCAGTCGATGGGGTTCTAGGCCTACCGGGGACCATAGACAGAACCTGGCCCCCTCAAGATAGACACGAGGAGCAATGGGTTATAGACACCAACTTGTAATTGGAAGCAGTCTGTGTCTGCCGACGTAGGATGGCAACTAGCCGAAGCTGCCTGCAGATACTGCACAACTGTGGACTCGGCAAACAGCAACGGACAAAAGGATGAAGACAACTGAAGAGCCTGGGTTCAAGCGGATTCCAAGGATGAACCGAGCACCTCCTGTTGGCACGCGAGTCGAGAAGCAAAAACTGCGAAACCGCATCCCACAGGAGTGGTGCGAACAGTTCCAACAATGCAGACGATGCACATGCCACCGAAGGCAACACACCAGACCCAGAGGCGGGCCCCAAGTGCCTCCACATCCACCGAGACATCCAGTCTGAGGACAGCTCAAGGAGGGCAAAGTAACGGATGGCCGAAGCCAACAGGTCATGTGTGCGCAAATCCTCCATGACCAATGCAGCCTAAAGAGAAGGAACCTGCACATGAAGCTGCATCACACCATCATCCCGCAGAAGGGCAGGGGTGAACAAGCACACAATGAGATGCTCAAATTCGCCTCCCAGGAAACCTGCAATGCTGTCTGAGCCTCCCTCCAGTCAAGTATGCTGGAGCGACAGAACGTATGCCAAGCCTCCAACGAGAAGAGAGGGCAGTCTACTAACCAGGACGACTCCGGAACTTCATAATGAATCCAGTAAGGACACGAAGATCCATACACGAAGGAATGTGGAACCATTACGAAAGCATAATCCAGGTCGCACAGGAGGTAAGCGGCAAGGAGTTCCCGCACCACATGATATGGGATGCGGGAAGCTAAAAACCTCCAGAAGAATGGGACTGAAGAACCCATTGGATCATGGAACTGAACCCGGGGAGGAGTAGACACCAAACCCAATTCGTACGAGGATGGAGCAAAAGAGAACCCCTCTCCTTGTAACACCAAGCCCCACTCTGAGGGTACAAAAACCGGCAGGGTCCAACGGGGCCTAAGGCCCCCAAGTCAACCTCTTTCCCGCCCAGGGAACCTCAAACAAACAGGGGGGCAGACCCTCCACCAGGCAGAGAAGACAAAAAGAAAATAAAACCCAACAAGAGGACAATGTGCCCAAGCAGTACAGAGCCAGCCACTATGAGAGATGACAACTAGCTGCACTGTACCCTGCACCCCAACCAGTGACAAAAACTACCCCCTACCCAGATGCAAACAGGGGTAAACAAAAACCCCAGCTGACTCCAAGGGCGGTCAATCACCAAGCAGAAAAAAACACATCGGAGGTAGACCCCAAGGTGACATGTGAAAGGTGGCCCAAAGACCCAAGGGCAGTACTTACAGGGCACCTAGGGAAGGAAACCCAAGGCACATGCAGTCCAAGTACTGAAGAGTATTACACCTGGCTCAACCAGGTATCAACTAGGCTCGCTCACTGACCGTAGAGACAGGACTGCGCCCCAAACCTCAGAACTGAGACAAAATCTGGAGCCAGAGGCACATGGCCTCGCCAGTATTACATCAGCCAAGAACTGAAGGGTGGATTGCCGGCGCAAGAGTCTGGGGCATCCCCTTCCCCCTCCGGTGGAGGGGAAGAAGGTTGCACAGACAGCAGCGTAGCAACGTGATGTCATGCTCGTTTGCTAATTTTCGTTTTGGGAGTTCTGTCCATTCGTTCGGCATTCGGTAGCAATATTTTCACCAGAATAGGGGTTTGTTTTGGGGCGCCTACCTTTCTGGGTGTCAGAACCGGTCGATGGCAGACATAGAATGCTTCCAACATGGGGGTTACTATAGGCCTTGCACCTCATGCCTCTCTGAGGGGGGGGGGGGAAGGGTCAGGTTCTGGCTCGTGGTCCCTGGTTGGCAAGAACTCCATGCACATTGACTGATGCCAGAAAGCTAATATATCCATATCAGCCTGGATAGCTCCGGAGAGCCGACGGAGCTCCCCCAAGAAATAACTTCACAACTGATGACACTATGTAGTATGGAACTTAATCATGATAGCTTCAGGGAGGCTCTGGGGTTCACCCAGTAAATGGCATTTCATTACATTCGATGGTTTTTTTATTAATAATATTTTCACTTTTCTCACTAGACACGAGGCACTAACTTCGGCATTAAGTGAAAAAGATGCCCATCTTGCCCTTCTAGAAGTTGGGGGAGTGAGGTCATCCAGGGCTGCACAAGAGCTAGACACACTGAAGAAGGAACGCTCGAAACTTCTTGATTCCATTAAGCTCTTAGTAAGATTTTCAGAAAGCATTTGATAAAGTTCCTCACCAAAGATTTTGAAAATAAATTCACATGATTTAGACAGATGTAATTTTTGTCATTTATATAAAGCAAGAATTTAGACTAGTCTCAAAACTGACCAATGTGATATGCCACTTTTTATTTCTTTCCAGTCTGATTATGTTCTGTTAAGTACTACCTGTTGTTTGCTTAAAAAAAACCAGCGTTGAATTTAATGAAACTCCAGTTTCTGGCTGAGCCCTGGAGGTTTCCTGAAGCTATCCTACTGGTATAGTGCTATATTAGTTGTGATCATCAGTCACAGAGTTCTTGTTGCCTACCAGGAACCAGAGCCAGAACCTGGCCCTTTTAGAGAGGCACAGAGAGCAATGGTCTATAAGCACTTTACATTTAAAGTATGTCATATCTTGCCATCTACCGGGGAAGACACCCAGGAAGGTAGGCGAATCAAAACAGACCACTGTTTGGTTGAAAATTGAGCACTACAGTCTCAAAATAGCAAAAGAACTCCCCCCACAAGGAAAACAAACAAACAACTTGTCATCCAGCTAGCCACCCACTCATTAATGCCAACCCCCCATCCCCTTCCCGGCCTTGAGAGCCAGCCTTGGTGACCCGGCAACTATGAAATCAGTTCAGGAATGATGAAAGCTGCTGACTGAATGGCAGGAGGGTGTCAGGGAGCCTCTGGGGCTCATCCAGAAACTTGCATTTAATTACATTGAATGCTGGTTTTCTGTGGGGAGCCCCATTGGCCTCCTGAAGCTTGCTACCCATAGAAAAGGCAAACAGGGACCATTAGGAAGGTGATGGCACCAAAGGTCTCAGAGGTAGAGACCGACAGCTGTGACAGCCGCCCCAAAGCCACACAAGCCTACAGAGGAACTGGAAAGTGCACAAGATACATGGACGGCCAGAACCCTGTTCTACCTCCAAAACTCCCACACCCAAATAACGTCCAAAGACAGCCGAAACATCACGGAGTTGCTTCAGCTTGCATTCAAGGTTGATACTTCCTCAGCCCCGTTTCGTAAGTTTTTTGGGCACTGTTTCACCTCCAGCCTGCTCATGTACCGCCTGAGCTTGCTTGGTCTTTGGACTGTCTTTGGACTTTTCTTCTTTTCTTCTGCTCATGATATGGGGTCCCATTCAGTCTGTTTGTTTTGTGTGACTTTGGTTTCCAACTCTCTTTGGTTTCCTCTCTCTTACCTCTATGATTGTTTTGTGTGGCTTTGTTTTTGCTCTCTCTTGCCTCTGTATGTCATGTGGGTAAGCTTCATGCTCTCCTTCAACACTGGAATTCTTGTTCCTTCGGTCCTTGGGGGGTCGTTTTGTTTGTATACTGCTGGCTCCTTGTTTTCTGGCAAACAATGTGCCGGTTGGCTTCTTGAGAGGTACTTTGATTGTTGGTGCTTGGTTAGTTTGGCCAGGGGTGCTTCATGTGCTTTGTCTGATGGAGGATCTGCACCATTACCTTCTTGCCACTGCTTCTGCTTTCATGCACTCATTGTGGGTTGATCCGGTTCCCTGGTCCCCTGTTCTAGGGCTTGTGTTTGTCAGGTCATCAGCAGTGTTCTTCAGTCTTGCCAGCCTGCAGTCTACCTTTACACTCATGCCATTCATAAGTTTGATGCTCTGTCAGCTGTGTTGTCGATATGTCTTAGGCTGTTATTTGGGTGCAGGGGTTTTAGCAGTTGAACAGGGTCCTGCCAGCCTGATATCTTGTAGATGTTCCTCCTCCTTGTCAGTCTTCTTTGGCCTTTGGTCGTGTGTAATTACCTAAGTGTAGTTACAGGATGAGAGCTACGCTCGTGGTGTCCCGTCTACCCAGCACTCTTTGTCATATAACGCTTTGAAGCTACTGACGGTTTTGGCCTCTGCTACCTTCTCACTTAACTTGTTCCAACCGTCTACCACTCTGTTTGTGAAAGTGAATTTTCTGTGGGGGGCCCCTACGGCTCCCTGGAGCTTATCGGGCTAATGTATGTTATCTTAGACCGGGACATTAGCTAAGGAGTTCAGACCTACCAGGGACCAGCGCCAGAACCTGGCCCCTTCAGAGAGGTTTCAGGGAGCAATGGCCCTGGAAAACCCCATATGGTTGGGGGTTTTCCTTATCTGCCATCGACCGGGGTTAGGCACCCAGAAAGGTAGGCGTAACAAAACAAACCCCACATGGTAAGAAACTACAACAAAAACCGAACAGAGAGGTAGAAAACTCCCTACAATCCCAAGGAAACAAGCAAACAAGCAAACATCACACTTTACTGCCGCGCCGATCGTCCGCGCAGCCCTCCCCACCCCGGGAGGGGGAGGGGGGAGCCCCGGACCTACCGCGCCGGCTGCCAAGCTCCAGTTCGTTCGCTAATGTCAACCGGGATTGACGCTTCTCTGGCCTCAGTTTCCTAGGCGGTGTTTGCCTTGTGTGGCGTTCACTGCCGTGTGTTGTGGTGTGTGGTGGCCAGGAGTACTTCATCAGTGCCAGGGCTGCATATGCTTAGTGGCTGACTTCCCTAAGTGCCCTGTGAGTACTGCCCTTGCGTAACAGGGTTATCTTCCCTGGGGCGTTCGGGAACCATTCCCGTTGAGGTTCTTGCTGCTCGGCATTTGCCTCGCCCTTGGGGCCAGCTGGGGCTTGGGGCCCTTGTTTGGCCCTGGGTAGGGTTTGGTATTGTGCTGGTTACGGCATCAAGGTGTTGCGCAGCCTGCCACCTAAGCGGCGGCCGGTTTCTGTTGCCTCTGGAGACGGTGTACTTTTGCGGGGTTTTTCTTTTGTTTTTCATTTTTCTTGCCTGGTGGGGGTCTGCCTAAGGTGGTTATAGTTCCACTGGTAGTGTTTGGCGGCCCTCTGCTAGGCCCCCGTGCTTGTACACGTCTCAGGGGATTTTAAGTGCTATAATCTACCCTCTTGTTATGTTTGGGTTTCTTCACCGGTTAGCAACACCTTGCCTGGGCTTCCCGTAGTTGTTACCCTACGGGCCCTGGAAACCCCTGTCTGGGCTCGGGGGACCATTGAATGTGTCTTCCGGGTTCCAACCCGTCTTGTACGGGATCGTTGGTTGCTGTTCCCTTGTCTCCGGGTGACAGTCGCCAATTTTACCTCCGTCGTGCTGCCTGTTGGGTCACTGACACCTTGACCCGGAGTCTTGCGAGTGATTCTCTGCTTGTTCTCCAGTACTCTCCTGATGTTATTACTGTTCAGAGTACAGGCGGCATCCATGTTGCAAGCTAGGTTAGGTTGCTGCAACATGCTAGGTTGGTTTCCCACTCGAATGCCCCGTGGCCGCCCCATTTGGTTAGGTGCTGCTCGCCCCTTCTCTCCATGTTCCTGGCTCCGGACCGTCTGCGGGTTTCGGGGTCGGGGCGGGGTTTAGTTGCGGCAGAGACTCGGGCGGTTTTCGGGGGCTGCCCCGTTCGGGTTGGGGACGGAGGTTTGAGCCTGTGCCTCCTGCCAAGGCTTCTGGGTCTTACCAGCGGCCCTTTCTTGTTGCCTTTCCCATGGACTCTTGCTTTTCTTTCAGGGCGGAGGGCTTGGAGGACGGCTCTGCCCCGGGGCCTCTGTTGTTGGTTCCCGGGGCTGTGGGGGTTGCCTGCTAGCAGTTCTGGGGCGGTTTTGCCCCTTCAGGGGTTTTTCTGCTGTTGGGCGGCGTTTTTCGCCCTTCCAGTCTGCTAGCTTCCCACATTTGCTGGCGTGTTTTTGTGTATTTAGCGTCAGTCACAGCCCCTGCTGGCGGCCATTTTCGTCTGCCGATTTCACGGCGTGGCCACCAGGGCGGCGTTGCGGTTTGTTTACATGCGTCTGGGTGTGCGAGCGAGCGTCACTGGTGAGTTTTCAAAAAATTTTCAGGGTTTTTGTTCTCCTGTTGTCGTTTCTTTGTTTTTCTGGTGTTTTCTTGCCGTTGCCTGTTCCTCTGGGAACGTTTGGGTGTTGATTTTGGGTCTGAGCCTATGGGTTTAGGCTCAGTGCCCCTGGCTGGTATGCTTGCTCCCACACCTTGCCCCTCGGTTTTCGGTCTGTTGGGACCGTTTTCCCAGGGCGTTCTGCTGGGGTCTGTGCTTTGCATTTCAGTGGTGTTCTCCGCCGGCAAATGTGGTGGTTTGGGCTCCCCCTGGTTCGATTCTGGGTTCCTTTGGGTTCCTTGGTTTCGTTCTGGAGGTTTCTTCCTCTTGGGCCCCCTTTTGTGGGTTCAGGGGACTGTTTCCTCGTGTGACCCGGTTCTGCCTTTTGGGGTTCCGGGGTCTTCCTGGCTTGCAGACTGAGCTTTTTGGGTCTTGGCACATGTTGTGGTTGTGCTGGGACTTTGTGGTTTTGCTGTCGAGGTGAGCCTTTTTGATGCAGTTTTGTGCCTTCTATGCCTGGCCGGCGTAGTGCTCTCTGCCACTAGTCGGCGGCTTGTGCTTTTACAATATATGTCCTCACCTAGTTGTGCTTGTGGGGGTTGAGCTCTGGCTCCTTGGTCCTGCCTCTCAACCGTCCATCAACAGGTAATTACCTAAGTGTAATTACCTAAGTGTAGTTACAGGATGAGAGCTACGCTCGTGGTGTCCCGTCTTCCCAGCACTCTTTGTCATATAACGCTTTGAAACTACTGACGGTCTTGGCCTCCACCACCTTCTCCCTTAACTTGTTCCAACCGTCTACCACTCTATTTGCGAAGGTGAATTTTCTTATATTTCTTCGGCATCTGTGTTTAGCTAGTTTAAATCTATGACCTCTTGTTCTTGAAGTGCCAGGTCTCAGGAATCCTTCCCTGTCGATTTTATCAATTCCTGTTACTATTTTGTACGTAGTGATCATATCACCTCTTTTTCTTCTGTCTTCTAGTTTTGGCATGTTTAATGCTTCCAACCTCTCCTCGTAGCTCTTGCCCTTCAGTTCTGGGAGCCACTTCGTAGCATGTCTTTGCACCTTTTCCAGCTTGTTGATGTGCTTCTTAAGATATGGGCACCACACAACAACTGCATATTCTAGCTTTGGCCTAACAAAAGT